AGGTTCCATAATCACAACGAAAACTTCCGCATATAGCTCAAGTACGCACATGCTAGGTAGTGCCGAACTTTCTCAAATATAGTAAAACAAAAGGTTGTAAAGTGTAGAGCAATTAGTTCCTCCCAATCGATGCTCAGATGAATAAAAAATATCTATCTCATACTCTAAACACCAAAAAAAAGGAATGAATAATGAAATAAAAGTAAAGAACTTCTAACAAAAATTCCGTTGTCTTTTAACAAAAGCAATACACTTTCATCTACAATAACTCCCATAATGATTGCCATTTCATAAACAAAAGAAAATCCCAGCATACAATTTTCAATTTCTTGTTAGCATCGACTCAGGAAAAAAAGGTAAATCTTGATTAAATACCGTAATTGATATGTAAATAACAACAACAACAATAATAAAACAGAATATTTTCCCTTTCATATTAGCTATTAAATCAGAAATCTAACAGTACTAGCAAACACACAAACCTTGGAGAAGGCAAAAAAGGGCACAGCGGAAACCGAATAAGCCTCATAAATCTCAGACTGTTCTTCAGCCTCAACCTGAAATATTTGAAATTTCGACGGCCGAATTGAGAAGCTGAAAGAAAAATTCCCAAAAGGAAAAAGGAAAACGGTGGGGAAATGGGGGAGGGAGAATAGGAGATATGATACAAACCCTGAAGAAATGGGTGTGAGGGAAATCGGTGGAAAGATGGGAAAGGACTTGGTCCATGTGCTTGGAAGCTTCACACCAGGAAGCCCAGAAGTGCAGGATAGCCGGTGCGCCGCTCCGCACCAGAGTGTCCAGCTCCTGCTTCAATTGCACATCTTTCACAGTCCCGCCCATGGATGTACAGATTAGATACAAGCAGGCGCTTCTCAGTTCTTCAATTCTAGAGAGAGAGATCCCAGAAACAGAAAGACCTAGAAGAAGAAGACGCAGTTTTAGAGGGAGTCCGAGAGAGAAGAAAGATAAACGGAGGGAGCTGAGAGAGCTTTGGCTGAGGCTGAGAGAGTTTGGTTTCAGAGAGGAGAGATGGCGAAGAAGTAGAAAGAAATGAGGGGGCTGAGAAGTTTTTTGATTCAGTAGGGGTATTTTAGAAATAACAAAAATTTCATTAAGGAAGTGAGATAGATTCCCGCACAATTTACGATCAGTTGCTTCTAAATTTCAGTTTAAAATTACTTTTAAATTCTCTAAAAATCAATTTTTAAAGTGTTTACTAGACATATTAAACAGCTTTAGTTAAAAAAAAAATTAATTTTAACCTCCCAAAATCTCTACCAAACCAAAGAGGTACAGAGAGAGGGAACAGAACGAAGAAAAAATGGAGCCAAGAAAAGAAAAAAAAAAAAAAAAAAAAAAAAGGGAAAAAAAAAAAAAAAAAAAAAAAAAAAAAAAAAAAGATAAACGCGGGTAAAACAGGAAAGACAAATTTGATTCTTAAAAAAATACCATTTAATAACCACCTGAAACAAATATAACATCGTTTTCACTGACCAACTAAAATATGACACTTACTACCTTTTGTTTTGGGAAAATGAAATAAATTCTTTTAAATTACATGTGTCATGATTTTTATATTTTATAATTGATTAATAGTTTTTAATTAAATAATATATTAATTAAAAATAAAAAGTAAAATCTAGACTCATGTGTTTGTAAGTTCAATGGGCCAATAAACCTATCGGACAAGTGAAAGAGGGGTTATATACATAAATGTCTTTGTATAAGTCTCTCAGCCTAGAAATGTCTAAGAAATTATTTATCACTATATTGAAAAGACATTATTATCCATGTGTAATGAAATTGGCTGAAATTAACAAAACATCAAAAAAGGAAACATTGAAAATCAAATCATAAAATGAAATAAAAAAATAAAATTAATGAAACATACCATATTCAGTATTAGGGCCATGTCGTTTTTTTTTTTTTTTTTGAATGCTGATTAAAACATTTCGATACACGATTTTCCCCTAAAACATATTTCCTTCTCCATTCTTCTTCCAACCGAAAAAACCCTACCTTCGCAACTATAGACGACGCTCGTCACCAGACCTCCATGGCAAAATCCCAAAGCGAATTATGTGAAAAAATTGATAGCGAAGAAACCTAACGAGAGAGATGAAAGAATCAGCACAAGGAACATGCTGACGGTGTCTTCTTCGAAAACACGAAGCCGAAGTTCTAAAGATGGAGATGGGCCATTCCACAAAACATAGTGGTAATATTGATCCCGTTCAATTGATGTGAATGTTCAATTTCATCTTTGCAATTTTTGTTTTATTTTGTTGATTTTGCTGATTCGTTTTTGTGTTTTTCATTATCATAATTTCGTGGATTTGTGATCAGTGTCCTTATAAATACTGTTAGAAAATTAATCAATCCTATTTAGTGTCTAAGACATATAAAAAAATAATAAATTTAAAGGTTACATGTCAGAAGCGTTAGCGTTAGCATCACCGTTAAGCTATTGAAACGGGCTCGAAAGTAATGAGAAATAGAGCACAATGGCAAAAATGACAATCAAAACAGACTTCGGATGTGTTCGTACGGACCGGTCAAAATTTGGTCAAACCTGATTTTTTTTTTTCAATTTCCAGCCAAGAAAACGACATGTAGTTTTGGAGGCATAATTAAAAATGGCAAGCTGTTTACTAAAAAGAGAGCAAATTCCTGAGCTTAAAATGACGCGTAGTTTTCTTTGAATACTAAACGACACGTCGCTTTTTCTTCCATGACCTTCACCCACCTGCAAAAACGACCGAAACGGACCGCGACCCAATCCGACCATATCTTTGCCTCCAAAACTCCGTTTTCGACGATTCGAAAGGGGTTTTCCTTATAATTTTGTCCTCTTTTAATCCATAACATCAAATTGCTCAAAAAAGTGACTGAAATCAAATTCTATTTTCGGCCATTTTAAAAGCTTCAAACCAACAACTAAATACCCAAATCGATGCTTAACAACTCAGGAAATTCATCACTCGTAACACATATTTAACGTCTAAAGCCTCAACAAGCATTAATTTGAACAAAATATCACAATTCTGGTTTCAAACCCATGAAAAACTGATTCGTACTTTTTCTAATTCAAAAATTTGTACAAGGATGGGCCAAATCATCGCAACAGATCATCAAATACGATGAATATGCTCAATATAACATCAATTTGAGTAAGATCAAGAGATTTAAAAATGAATCTTCAAAACTCACGAGAACAACAAATTTTTTACTGTCTTAGAACTACTATAGAGAGTTCTGATACCAATCGATAGAAAATTAATCAATCTTATTTAGTGTTTAAGACTTATTAAAAATTAATAGATTCGTGGATTACCTGTTAGAAGCGTTAGCCTAAGCCATTGAAGTTCTTCGATGGAACCGGCCTAAGAGTGATGAACTCTCTGCTCCAATAGTCTCTCCACACACATCACACATACTACACACTCTACCCCTTACAACCACTCATAGCCCGCAAACACTCACACACACACACACACATATATATAGTTTATCAAACTTAATGGGCTTATATTATAGTGGGCCAATTGGGCTTTATAATTTGTGCGAGAGAGGTTCTTCAGCTTAATAGGCTGACCAAAGTACAGGAGAAGGAATCTATAGGCCCTAAGTTATTCAATAAACTGCGTGTCTATTTATTATGGATTAATATTTGCATATATGCATTAATTAATTGACAGTAATAAAGTTGTCCTTAATATGCTATATTTCATAATAGAGTAAATTATTATGATTATAAAAATCCACATAACAATATTTCATATTCTCATCAAACTATTTTCTTTAGATTTCTGAAACCAATTTTCAATTTATGTGTGTTATTATGTTGAAGCAAGGATTGTGAGTCATTTTTTTTAGTACTGCTCTGTTTGTTTTGAGGGTTCTGACCTAATTTAGGATCATGATTCTTAATTCGCTATAATGATTTTCTCTCATACAAAATTTAAATATAAAAAATCAGAATCATAAACTATAGTTTTGAACTTATAAACCAAACATCAACTATGTAAGGAAGTGAATCAAATAGACACTGATTTGTGTTTTTCTTTAGGCCCATAGTTTGTTTTTCATTATCATAATGCTCTTCATTATTTTGTTCTATGTTAATTGTTATAATCTGTACATTCTTCATTATCATAATTTTTTGAAGGCCATGTTTTTGTTATGTCATTCATTTCATTCATCATGAATGAATGACATAACAAAAACATGGCCTTCAAAAAATTATGTAATATTATATAATAGAAGAAAATTTTAGATTCAGACCTTTCACAGAGGCTTAGTTTGGTAGTGCTGTAGATTTTGAAAAAATTATTTTTAGTTGTGCTGAAGGAAGAAGTAGTTGTTACAAAAAATAACTGAGTGTTTAGTAAATTATAATTATAATAGTTATGCTGGTTCTAAAATCAGTGTAATAATATTTGGTAAATTATAAGGTTGAATTGCTGTGGATAGTAAAAAGTTACGACTATATTATATTATACTAAAATATAATATATATATATATATAATTACAATATTATATTATATTATATTATCAGTCTAAATTTTAGATTGAAGAGATTGTAAATTTTAAATTTCATTAAGAGTATTATGAGTATTATGAAAGTTTCATTAATTGTACTATGTTGATTTCTGCACAATTTAAAAATTAAAGTTATCTTTAGACTGTTTTTAATTTTAACTGTAAATTCTTAAAAAAAAATTTAAAAGGTATTTTTGAAGAGATTTATTAAACATTAAAATCAATTTATGTTACCAACGGTTTTAAAAGAAAAAAGTAATATCAAACTAAGCCGCGGCCATTTTATGTAATTACTCTCATATGATATGTACGGGCTTATAGAATGGTCCGAAATTTTTTATTTTTATTTTATTTTATTTTTAAGGTATGCAGTAGCCAGAGAGAAAGATTGAACAATGCGAAAATTTCACAGCAGACGCAAAAAGCGTTGCTGCAAAACCCCGCAATCCTTTCCTTTCTGGAATTCCCGAATTTTTCAAGTTCATTTTTTTTTTTCCGCACATCAGAGGGGGAAAAAATAAAAATAAAGGAAACATAAAACGCCAAATTCACTTCTTCTTCTCAAGGACTGTTTCTAAGTCACAGTCACAGAAAGAGGAGGAGATAGTTGAATTGAATTTACTCTGATAACAAGCATTCTTATTAATGGATGGTTCTGTTCTGAGTCGGAGGGGTTTGACTTTGGAAGCCTCGAAAATGGAGCCATCACCCCAATTATTCAAATCCCCCGGACGGTCCTCTCCGTCCTGGAATCTCGCTCTACCCACTTTTTCTTTCTCTTTCCCTTTCTTATTGCTCACATTACCATTCTCACTACAATCTCCTTTCTATTGTGTAAGTGTATATACATTATATATAGATATATATTTATACACGCGCACACAGTTCCTTGAGATCCACAATCTCGCCTTTTCCCTTCCCAATTTTGGCGGTTGCCCTTGCGTGCTGTTCAAAAAGATCGCATTCACGCCTTTTGCATGAATCTTTAAGTGATTGAATGAAAAAGAACGCAGATCAAGGCCATAGTTTCTGAGATTCTCTGACTGGGGAGAGTTTCTGAGAAGTATCTGAAATTTTCCGCCTCTTTGTTTAATTTTTTTTGGCAGTTTTTTCGGAGGCGTTTTTTCATCAACGTTTCGGATATTTTTTTTCAGGTGTTTGTAAAATGTCATCTGAATTCAGCTCAAACGGAGCTCAAAGCCATGAATTCGACTGCGAGGATCCGGTGAATGCCTCCACTAGAAGTATAGCTACAAATGCAGAACGTAGAGCTCTCATTGACAGGTTAATTACTTAAATTTTGCAATTTGATCATACAATTTTGGAAGATATATAATCAAGTTGCTACTCATCGTGTATTTGTGTTTGATTTATTTATTTTTTGTTCGACTAGATTTTTTAGAGGGAACAGAGGAGCAGTTAGCAGTCATGGAATTGAGGTTGATGGGGATGAAAAGCGTGAACATGGAATAGGGAAAAAGTCGGGACCCTTTTTGTCTGGGGCAGCTTATTGCATTTCTTCTTGTAGCATGATTTTGCTGAATAAAGTTGTTCTATCGGGTTATAACTTCAATGCTGGGATATCATTGATGTTTTATCAAGTGCGTTTCTCAATGCCTCTCTAAAAGTTTTTTTTTTTATTGCATATTTAAGAACATGAAAATGGGTGTTATCAGTTTCTGTTTCTCTTTCTAAATTTTAATATTTATGATTATGTTTATCGTGTATTTCCACAGGTTTAGGCAAAGTGCTTAATTTTTTACTTGTATGTTCCTGCAGAATCTAATTAGTTCTCTAGTTGTTGTTCTGCTGGGCTTCACTGGAGCGGCTTCGGTGGAAAAGCTTAACTCGAAGTTGATTATGGTCTGGATTCCTGTCAATGTAATCTTTGTTGGCATGCTTGTATCAGGCATGTATAGGTAAATGATTTTACGACTTTACATTTTTACGCCAATTGTTTATACTAGCGAAGGGACGTGATCCAAGTGGTGAAGAGAATATTACCGAGGAGCTCCATAATTGTGGTTTTTTCATGAATTATGTTTTATACGTTTCTAGCAAAAGTTGCTCGAGTTCTAATGTGCAAAGTTTCTACTAATCTTTTCTAGCTTCATTTTTTTTCTCCTCAGTTTGAAACACATAAATATAGCAATTGTGACCATTCTGAAGAATATGACGAATATCTTAACAGCAATTGGAGAATTGTACTTGTTCCGGAAACATCAAAATCAGAAAGTGTGGACTGTAATGTTCTTGATGGTAAGTGACACTAGTTTATTTCTTGTAGCCAACCAGGTTATTGTTCGTTTGCTTGTGATTGCTCTGTTTTCTTCACTAGTCACTTAGCCGTATAGACTCTGTGACGTGAGGCATAATATCCCTCATGCATCTATGTGAATGGCCCAAACAAGGAACGTCCAGCATTTTGATTAGTTAAGTGAAATCTTGATAGTTGTAGAGGATAAAATTTATGTTTACTTGGTTCTCCATTTACCACATGTGAACATTGTGTGTCTGTTCTGACTTACTAAAGCTTAAAGTTGATAGTTTGATTTTTCTTTTTCATTGCAGATTATTTCTGCTATAAGTGGTGGTATCACGGATCTTTCCTTCGATATAGTAGGTTATGCATGGCAAGTTTTGAATTGCGTTCTAACTGCAAGCTATTCGGTAGGTGAACTTAAATATTACATGTAATTCATACCGTCCCGCTTAGACCTGTTTGTGATCTTACAAATATGTGTTAGGATCTGTAATTTTATAATTGCACCATGAGAAACATGGTTCCTGGTGCAGAATCAATGTTTTACAAATGTAAATCAGTGTGCAAAATTTGCCCTTTATGACAGTTAACTCTACGGCGGGTCATGGATGAAGCAAAGAAAGCTACAAGATCAGGATCTCTAAATGAAGCTTCGATGGTGTTGCTGAATAATCTGTTATCTCTACCCTTTGCCATCTTCTTAATTCTCCTTTTTGGTGAATGGGAATATGTAATAAATGCGTAAGCTATTGCCTTTGATATTTTTTCTATATTATAATATTTTTCTTTTAACTAATTAACACTTCGTTTATGCTCACTTTTATATGGGTTTCTATATCCAGGGATGTCACCAAACTGCCAATGTTCTGGGTAGTTGCAACAGCTAGTGGGTTGCTTGGGCTCGCCATCAGCTTCACCTCTATGTGGTTTTTACATCAGACTGGCCCCACCACTTATAGGTACTTATGAATGGTTTGGCATAAAACTGACATTTCCACGAGTAAATTACCTCTGTGCTTTTACCGAAATGCAAAGTAATGTAATGGGAAAGGTAATGGGATTGGAAATGAAAGTAAAATAATAGAATTAAGAAAGTGTTTACTTGACTATTAGATAGTGTAATGGGAAACAACCTCATTCCTTTTTTTATGTTTACTAAAATTAGAAATGGCAATGTTATAAATGTAATCATTAAAATGTCCTTTTACACAAACAAATAATCATTGACTATATAGTAATTCATTAATGGTAGATAAGTAAATTTAGTTTTCATACCGTTTGGACAAAGGAATCAATACTAAGAGGGTGCAACGATTAACATTCTCTTTTCTCATTCCTTATATTGTGGGGGCCCACTAAATCTCCATTGCTTATTTTGTAAGTAAACACATTAATAGATGGAAAAAAGAATCACTCCTCACTTTCTCTTTGATGCTTGCATAGTAAACATGCCCTTAATGTAATTGTTATATTCTTTCTGTTGATAAATCTATATCATATGTCATAAGTTCTCAAAAAATAAAAAAAATAAAAAAATAAAATAAAAACACCTTCAGATTCAAACCTATATTGGCCTGAGATATCTTCCGTTGCTTAAGAAGATTGTAATTATCTTAAACCAAAAAATTTGTCTCTACTTAACAAATTTTGGCTTTATTCTTTGATAAGCTTATAACTACCATTTTTCGTTATCAGTTACCTGTTTCAGTTTCAAGTGAACTTCTCATCTTACATTGTGCTCTACTTTTCAGTCTGGTGGGTTCCTTAAACAAGATCCCTATCTCCATTGCTGGTTTAGTGTTATTCAAGGTGCCGTTGAGTCTATCAAACTCCTTCAGCATACTGTTTGGTAATTCACATGATCAACTCTAAAAACCATGACTACCTTATATTCCGGTTTGTTTCACTCACTTTTGTATTTTTACACTTGATCAGGTTTATTTGCTGGAGTCTTCTTTGCCAGGGCCAAAATGTCCTGATTCGAAACCTGACATTTTTTTTTTCTTTTGCGTGGTGGCTGCATGATCAGATACGAAGAAATTGAGTACAGGAGTCGGCTTACAAGCTTGCAAGAGTAGGATGAGGATACTTTTTTCCCCATTTTTACCAATACACATTTATACATGAGGTCTATAGCATCTCTTTTCGTGATTTATTGCCTTCTAATTCTTTCATTGAATTGTAAAAGAGACTGAAATCGATGTCATTTTCTGAATACGTGATAATTTTCTGTCTTAAGGTTTTCTTAAATCTTAATGCAAATGGTGTTATATATTCCTCGCAAGGATTTGCATCTTGCTGGTTCTTTCAGAGTGGAGTTCACATCTATTTATATAATTTTCTTGCACAGTCCTCTCTTGTCCGGAAGAGTTTATAATAGCACAAGCTTTCCAGTCAACTGTGCTTCTCAAGCTATTTGTTCTTAGTCAATCCGTCTGAATTTTGTTGGCTTTTTAACTGGGAGGGAGACCCCCCGGATGTGGTAGCCAAGCTTTTAGCTGACAAAGTTTAATGCAATCCTGGTTACTTTGCAAACAAAATAAATAATGTTAAAAATAAAATCAAATGAGTCTAGTTTATATAATTGCATTAGTATGTTGCTTATCAAATGCTTTGTATTATCTTTACATTCGTTGAGCCCAACACCAGAGACCTCAGCAGCAAACGTGAATAGAAGAACCAATAAGAAGAATAATTATAACTTTTGAATCCCTGTTTTTTGTTTCAAACTTGAGAATTAGAAGTCCAGCCATCTATTTATTAGCCAAAAAAAACAAAAAAACAAAAAAAAAAGAGGTCCTCATTTGTTTCCTACTCAAAACTTCCATGTATTTGAACTATCAATTCGCCCATTGGCTGACAAAGTAATTGCTCGGATTACTCCCACAAGTGAAAATAAGAGCGACAATTGAGTAAAAGTCAAAATAAATGTGAAATTAAAATATGCAAACGAAGGAAAAAAAAAAAAAAAAAAGCTTTAGCCAAAAGAAATTGAAAGGTACGCAAGAGTCATATAACCCTCATAAGGGCAAGCATTTAGTACCAACCCAAGCAGTAAGAACGAAGGCATAAAGTTCTCCCAGATTTCCTCTCCTTAATAAATCTTAATTAATTTCAGAATATAACCTGCAATCTACAATTTTTTATCATAATTTTTAACTGGAAATTGATACGTCAAAATTATCTTCATTTCCTAGATAGTAAAAACGTGTCCACACTGTACAGTGGCAGTATAATTCTCTGCTAGAAAATGGCGCCAAAATTATCAATATTGCTGCCTAAATAGGTAATTCCCATATTATCCATTCAGAAAAGAAAAACAAAAAAAAAAAAAAATGATTTAATAACAATTAAATGGTTGAATAACGAACGCACTAATCTCTCCCTAATTCTTTCTACTTTTGGGCAAGAGAGGAAGCTCAGGAGTTACGATGGAGAGAATTTTCAACCGTTGGATGTGCCTCATGATGAACGGCTATTGAGCCATGTGGCGTTATTACGAGGTTCAGTATAAGCTCCCTTGTCTAGCGCTTTCTCTTGTATTATGGAGTTTTTTTCTCTCTTTCAGCTAAGACAAGAGAAAGAGAAAACCCACATAACAGAAAACCTGTCCAAAATATTTTCTCCTCCCAGTTCTTGTTTCTGAATATTCCAAACTTCAAGTTCTCTTTCCATGGAAGAACGAAGAGGAGATGGTTTTTTCTCTGGTGGGTTTCACAGGCCTCGTCATGATCACCAATTATATCCGTATAATTATTCGAGTAGACGACCAGCTTCTCGTCCACCATTGACGGCCATAGACAGATTCTTGAGCGGTCAGAGCCATTTGAATTCTCAGCTAATTCAGTATCAAAACAACACGAAGAACAGCGAAATACCGCTTGTTTCGACTGCGAACGGGAATTTAGGTAGTTCTTGGCAATATAGTATTGATGATAATATTCTTCATGAGGAAAGCTTCTTTGGCGGTCTTTTTGTTGATCATGATGGAGAAGCTTCTACTGTGAATAGGACAGTAGTGCAAGATCAGAGAAACGGCGATACGTGTTCAAAAGGAGAAGCGGAGTTTGTCGAGAATTATAGCTGTAAAGAGATGGGAAAGAGAGCTGAAAAAGGTTCCTCTTCTGCGGCTTTAATAAAAGGGCAATGGACAGATGAAGAAGACAGGTATATATATATATTGAACTATGTATTTATATTATTCGCTCTTTTCCCCTTTATTTTCAGTGTTGTATAAGCGCATAGGTTTTTTTTTTTGTCCATTTCTGAGACTGAAATGTATTAGGGTTTTTGTTTGTGTGAAGAAAACTGGTTAGGTTGGTGAAGCAATATGGTGTGAGAAAATGGGCCCAGATAGCCGAGAAGATGATCGGCAGAGCCGGGAAACAGTGCCGAGAGAGATGGCATAATCATTTACGCCCTGATATCAAGGTTTGATGATCATCTTCCTCATTCTTTAACATGATAATAATGTACTTTTTAGTTTTTATACTTTTTCGTGTCCTATATATGTATGTATATGTATAGGATCTAAGAACTGAAACTTGTTTGTCTGCTTGGCTTAAATTCTAAGATTTGGTTAATTAACAAGGATCTTACCAACTGAAATCTCTTAGATTTGCCGTATTTTGTCTTGCCAGTGACGATGCTATATATATATATATATATATATATTAATATTACAAAAATCTGGTATATCTTCTTTTATTTCCTTCTGTAGCCAAACAAACTGATTTACAATGCCTAGGTTTTTGACCCAAAATCAGGATATTGTATCCACCAAATAATTTATGGATCATCTTTCTACCAAATATTTTTTTCTTTTTTTTTTTTTTCCTTTTGAAGGGACCAAAAAATATTTTTCATAAATCTACACGCACATCTTAGATTTCTTCGACATCATTCTATCTGCTTAAAATTTCTATATGTCCAATTTTTTCTTCGTTATGTATTTCTACATTTTGAAGAGTAGTCTGGATTTTCAAAAAATAATAGCTTAATTATGGATATGTGATTTGCTTCTTTATAAGTATTCTTGTAAGACCTACTGTTCAAATTCCAATCCGTTTCTATTTGTGATCACTTGGGGTTTCCAGAAAGATAGCTGGAGCGAAGAGGAGGAGAGGATTCTAGTTGAAGCTCACACGGAGGTCGGAAACCGGTGGGCGGAGATCGCAAAACGCATTCAGGGAAGGACCGAAAACGCGATAAAGAACCACTGGAACGCCACCAAGAGAAGGCAGAATTCAAGGAGGACGAGCAAACAGACAGTATCCCAACAGAAGGGAAAGCCTCAATCCTCTATACTCCAGAATTACATCAGAAGCAAGAGTCTCAACAATGTGAGTTGTACTCCTAATACTTCCACCATTTCCAACACTACCGCCAGTACTTCAACCCTAAGTACTACCGAAGACCCCGCCTCAAACAAGTATATGATGATCAGCAATACAAACGACAACATTAATGATCCAACGGTGCTGGATAATCCATCAGAATATTCTAGTACTGCTTCTGGCGCTGAATCTCCTTTACTATTCCCTCAGACGTACGACGATGAATTGCTTTTCATGCAGAACTTCTTCACCAACAATAACAATGACAACCAGTACTACAATATTCCGCCACTAGTTGATCAGAATGTTGCCTTTGGCTGTTGCGCGGACAAAACCGACGGTGGTGATCATGCCAAGGAAAATAGCAGCTTCGTCTCTTGCGCTATTTTTCCAAACAAACAATTATCTGCTAATTCTAATTCAGAAGATTTTCAGGCTTCTTGTTCTAGTACTATTCCAAACAGTACTACTCACCTTTATTCTGATCTCTACCTGTCTTACCTGTTGAATGGAGTGCCAACTTCTTCATTATCTTCTATCGCTGAAAATGATAACGCGGATTCGATCAAAGTTGATGATCAATATGATCAATCTTCTTCCTCCTCAAATGGAAAGAGAGATATGGATTTGATAGAGATGGTTACTTCTTCTCTCTTCTCCAGTGCTAATATTTAATATAATAATCAGTTGATCATCAATGTCAATTAGCTTCTTGTGTAGTAATTTAATTAATTTGTAAAGAACTAGCCCTTGTTCTTCCCATTGCTGTATAGGAATTAAAGGGTCACGAGAAATGAGAGAAGTACTACTGGAAGTTTCTGCAGTTTGGGTTAATTACTTAAAAGAAATATTATACTTCTTTAATGGGGTTTTGTTATCTTATATTATAAGGATGGATGGTGTTATACGTTTCTTGGTTGTTATTATATTCTGTCTGTGTTTATAGTATTGCAAAAGAAACGCTGAAAAAACGGTCTTTTGTCTTTCTGTTTCCTATAGCTGGACTGCAATGATTTTCTTTGAGGGTTTCTTTTCAGGTCAGTTTGTGTCGTTTTCTTTACTTTCTCAACGGTTTCTGATTCTATTACATGCTTTGTTGACGAAAGTATTCTTGGGGTGCCTGCTTCTCAATCTTCATGCAAGATTGCAGTTGTAGAACAAAACAAAAGAACGATTAATGTTCTTTGCTAGAAATAACAGCCGTTGGAGTTTTAAAGAGCCAAACAATTAATTAATACGTGAATGGCGTAATTAATGCTCAATATGTCTAATGAGGTCCGGTACTGTACGAATCGGGACTGACTTGAATGGAATGACCTAAATCTTACTTTCAACAATTCAAGTTTTTTCTTTCTTTTTTTTTTTTTTAATGGAGATGAAAAGGTGTATAGCATATTTTAAAAATTCCATTTAATTGTATTCTTACTGGTACATATTTATTTGCCCAGCGTAAATACAGTATTTAGTTGTATTGTACTTACGCTAAGTAAATAAAATATTTACTCATTAATATTTAAAAAAGAAAAAGCTCAAAATTACTCTTTTATGGTAATGATATTTTTATTATTGCCTTCTTAATCATAACTACCTTTTTATTAAAATAGATCAACTTAAACAATTTAAATAAAAAGGGTAATACTTTCTTTAAAAAAAAACAATACTGAACAAATAGGGTAATATTTCACATTGAATTTTAAGGATCAATTCTAGAAAAATTTCTTAAATATAACGTTATTTACAACAAATACTATTTTCCCCTTTTTTTGAATATTTTATTTCCTCTCAAATAAAAGTGTAAGCTTCTACATGCAAGTATTTTTAAAAGTTAAACCTTTTTTTATATGCTAATAGAACTTTAAATAAAGTGGGCATAAATTTGAAAAATATTAGAGGAAACCTATACAAATACCCCATAAAAAGGGAATAAACATGTATATCCTTTCCTAAACTCTAAGCTTCATAGCTTCATTTTCTCTCGTTATATATCTAATTAAGAAGGATATAATTCTAAAACAAAGGTACAAAACTAAATAAATTTTCTCTCATTATTTATATTCAAGAAGGATGAAACTCTAAAACAAAGGTACACAACCAAAGAAATGAATTAAGATGGAGATTCTCTAATTTTCTCAATCAGAAAAAATAACATAAATCTAGGTTTTTTTTTCTTTGATTATTGAAAAATAAATCTAAGTTGGTAGCTAAACTCACACAAAAATTTCTAGTAAAATTACACTACAAGCAAATTTATAAAAGTGAAGTTCAAATCTATATATTTTTTTGAAATATTTTAGGAATAGAAAAAACTAAATAATATAATAATTATTTTAATAACATTTATTATTTCTATCTGTAAAGCATTTTAAAGATTTGCTATATTTTAATATGACTTGTAAAATTTTGTTCTATGTCTAAAAAGTCCAAAATTGTAGAGAAAATTATATTTTAATATGACTTGTATTAATTAATACAATTTTCACTAATATAGCTATTTGAGAAAAGTACATGGTTTGCTATGGTTTTGTGCAAGCCTATTACTTATATTGTTCTCAATAATTGGGTGTCATTATGGCTTTTTATTTCCTTTTTATTAATTGAAAGATAATTGTTTATTTTTTAGTGGAGTGACATAAATAATATTTTTTACAATTTTGATTGGTGTTTTCAGTTTTTTTTCCCCTAGTTATTTGATTAAAAGAATATTACCAAGAATAAAGGATAAAAATCCAAACCTATAAACTCTAAAAGGTATTTGTCTCATTTTCTCAAAACTATCTAAATATCTCAAGGAAAAAAAAAGAGACAATTGCCCCATACCTTTTAAAGTGTGTGAGTTTATATTTTTATCTTTTATTTTTAATTAATACTTTTTAGTGAAATAATTATACGGAGAAAGAGGAAAATAGGCCAAGACTTGAGGTGAATTAAAATTAATAGGCCAATAGTTTATATAAGTTAATAAATAGGCCAAATTACTGTTTTCGTCCATAACTTGACAAGTTATTCCTAATTTTTGTCTATAATTTGTCTGGTTATGAACCATAACTTGACAAGTTTATCCATAATTTATCTGGTTATGAACCATAACTTGACAAGTTATGACCTATTAATTTCTATAACTAAAAGTTAACCTATATACTTTCTTAAGCTTTTCATATTGGCCTATTTTCTACTAAGATTAGTAACTTTGCAGCATTGGGCCTGATAACATAGTATTGGGCCTTTACGGAATAGTGGCAAACGAAATTACGAATATTCCATTCTTCAAGGTTTTCTTCTTTTCAACGTCTGGCAACATAACAAAAAAAGCCAGGACAAACATCCAAATATGATGCCTTTATATTCTAAATAGGTTTTCTGTGTTTTTCCATCATCCGTTGTAGTTAACCATTGAGCTGAAAGAAAGATCGAAGGCATGTTGGTTTCAGAGTTGGAGATAAAGGATATACAATTTCGGGTCAATGTTTCTCTGAAGAGTCTGAACATCTCACGATTTAAAAAATTTTAAAAAAAAATTGCCAACTTTAATGCTGAATTATAAAATTAAAGAAATTTTCCAGCCTATAGGAATTTTCGAGAGCCCCAACCACTCTTCTAATAATAGAAGCATCATTCTGAACTTTGGAATGGACTAGTGATATTATGACACCAACACTTATAACTATTTCACCTGAAAAATCCGTCATTTTCTGCTTGGCCTAGCTTAATCCTAAGAAGGAAATTAAGGACCCATTTTCCTTCATCCTTCCTATTCCCATGTGCTTGGCATACATGGTTGTTTCATATAATATATTTTTCCCGAAAAAAAACAAGAGGAAAAAAGAATAAGAAGCCGTTGCTTTTCCCAAAGCCTGCTAAATGGGCACCCATAAAATGTAAGAACCACAAGCCACCAAGAAGAAGAAAACTTGAAATTGTGTCCGATAATAGAGGCTCCAAAAAACGCTTGCATATTTATTATTATGTACGCATATCTGAATATGCATATACAACCAATAAAAAGCATCCTGAAAGCATACGCTTTATTTTTCAGAGTGACCTTGGAAACTTTATTATGAATTATTTTGTTCTTTAAAAAAAAACAGACAAAAGAAAATGTCATTTTTAGTAAACTTTTATAATGCCTTATTTTGTTCTTCACAATTAAAAAAAAAAAAAGGGGGAACTTATCACCTTTATGGCATTGAAATGAAACCAACTTTTTCAAAGAATAAAACGTTTTTATTGGAAAATAAGATTATATTCTCTTAGTACTTGTATTTTTTGCTGGAATTCACATGTTTTTTCAATAATGAATCAAACAGTGCATGGTGAGTTGTTCTGTTTCTTTTGCTATTAAGTTGTCATTTATGAACACTATGGAAAAACCTAACCTTTTAAAATTCAAGTTTGGATTGGCAAGCACATATTTATGTCAGCTAAAACAAAGCCGAATATCATGAAAAATCAGACTCCTTTTTCAGCCACTCAATGAACCACCAACCTTCTTTGTCTCAAAAAAAAAAAACCCTTTTCATTGCCTTGTAATTGTCTTTCTTTTTCATACAACACTAAGCCAACGAGCACACCATAACCTACCACACTTGGATGTATCCTTAATCAATATTACAAGCACGAGAAACACGTGCATTTCTAGCATACGCACTTTAAGAAACAAAGAAATCGTTCTCAATTTTTTATTTTTCATTTTTTTCCTGGTAATTCTAAATGGCATTTATATTAACAAAAAAGATAATTACAATTGCCATGTGATCTTGTCAAAAAAAGGGCAAAAAAAAAAAAAAAAAAGAGGAAATAATCTGTGCAATCCCCAAAAGCCTCCCCCACAGCAGGGCAGCCATTCAGTATCGTCCCAAGATGGTGGTGGTAGATCTCGAGGGCACCAAAAACACTGCCATTTTTTGCCATATCGCCATGCAAATAAGACCCATTCCACGGCCACGTGCTTCCATGTGTCCAAAAACGCCACCGCCACCATCACCGTCACCGCCTTAAAAAAAAAAAAAGCCATGTCGTATCCCAAAAATACAAAAAAGAAAAAATAAATAAACATCTCTCTATTTATCTTCTTTTTTTTTTTCAACAAAACACCAAAGAGGGTGAAAAATAAAGGGAGGTGGTGGATTGAAGTCGACAGGCTTATCTTTTTCTCTTTTTATTATTCTCACTTGTAATTGAGTTTTTTTTTTTTGGTGGGGTATTTTTTTTATAAAAAATCATTTTTTTTTTGTTTTCAAGATTCTTGGGTGATGTCAGCTTCAGGGGAGCTGAGAGGGAAACACGTGTCCTCGCCACCGGTGTTCCAGAGGAAGTGAGCGTAGTTAGCGGCGTAGTGGGAGTTTCCCGGGTCGGCGGAAATGGCTTCCAAGAAGGTCTCCTCGGCAGCCCACAAGTCGTTTCGAATCCTCCAAAGAAACGTCGCGTATTTATTATACGCCTCTGCATCCGCTGGCTCCACCGCCGTTGCTCTCTTAAAGTAATCATCCGCTCTGTTTATTTCCATCCAAAAAAAAAAAAGTCAACAACTAAATCTAAACTCGTGATATTAGGATTTAGGGAGAGAAAAAATAATCAGAGTCAAAAGTATTATATAGCTTCGAGTAGTTTTCGATGCTAACATGAAGAAAAGATTTTTTGGGGGGTTAAAACGCGTTAAGAGTCACGCAGGGCACATGAAGGAAGCCAAAAGTGGTTTTTATTTTTATTTTTTAATGTACTTACTTTTGCCAAGAAATGCAAATCGCAGCCTACACCACACATCTCGTTATCGAAGTTGATGAAACCGAACTAACTTTAACCAATACGACAAAAGTGGATCTGGATCTGATCACAAAAAAGCTTGAAGAACTAGTACCGGAATATTGACTCAAATAACTTTTTATAGTTTTGATTTTTTAAAGATGCTTTTGATTAATTACTGTAAACACCACAGAGACTTCTCTACTGGGCATCTATATTTAGCTGTCCATAAGCAACTAATGAAACTTCTTTATAAACCCCGAAAAAAATAAAAAAATAAAAAAAAGTTTTGTTCTTTTAGATGTGAATTACTCAATCGGGTAACTTAACAACTACTATGAGTTATTACCACCAGAAAATGAAAACATGCATATACTTATAAGACAAATTATCCAACCAAATAACAGGCAAATTTTACCGGCAATAAGAAAATTTACCTGTCGTAATCGTGGGCAACGAGGTGAAGGAACTGAGCATAGTTCGCGAGGAGGAGAGAGTTATTGGGATCTTGAGACAAGCTCGTTTGGTAGAGAAGATCCGTTCTGAAATATTCTTCGTAATCATCTGATTCAATCTTCGCATTCACCGGCGAAACGAACTTCTGAATCGTCTCCCGATCCAGAGCTTCGTCTCTTAACAAAGCCTGCATTTCCGAAGCCTCATTCACAATCGAATTCCACAATGCCACCTCTTCTTCCCTGGCCTCCGACACCGGCGACCCCGCCGATGGCAACTGCGAAGCCCCATCAGGCAGAACCGCCCGGTACTGGTCCGACTGGTTAAACCCTCCGTCGCCATCGGTCCCGCTCGCCACCGGCGGGACTTTTCCTCCGCCTCCATTGTTTCCTCCGATCGACGTCGTCTTCCAGCCAGAAAACGACACCGAAAAAGTCTTGATCGCCGAGGAATCGAATTTCTGGTTATTGTGATCCTGAACTTCAAGCACCGAAGCGGTATCCACAGCGGGCGGCGACGGGGCCGCGATGGCGTTGTGTCCCATCGAGTAGACGGTGAAATTGGCGAGGAGGATCATCACGTAGACCATCAAAGTCGGCGTGTGAGAGAACACTTGTTGGAAGAGCCAAACGAAGGAAGCGTGCATTTCCTTCTGGACTCGGCTGAGAATCCCCTGCAGATCTTCGAAGAAGAGGAGTTCTCTCATCTGTAAAGTGTAACTATGAAGCTCACGGATTATAAACACCATCGACGAGAACGCCGCCTTCACCGAGCAATAAGCCGATTCCCCTGCTTCCCTGAAGCTGTCCTGCCATTGTATCTTCCTCTTTATAATTCGGAGCGAGAGCGGCAAATCGACGCTGTTCGCCTTCCGTTCGATGCTCACCGGAATTATCTCGCCCTCCGCCTCCGCCGGCCAATCCGGAGGCTGCGCGAATAGATTCCGATCCTCTACAGAGTTGACGCTGGTGTTTATTCTCGAAGGTTCTTCAATGAAACTGCGAGAACTTTCCGAAGTACTATTAACGGCGGTATTGCTGCTACTATCTCTGGATTCCGAATCTTCGTCGCTGTCGTCGGAGAGTTGGAATCTGAGAGCCAATTCCTGAATCTTCTTCGAAAATTCGTCATCCGAGAAGGCGTCCAAGCTCGCACTGGTGGCTCTACTAATGGTTTTAAGCTTTGTCTTCGGTAATTCGCAGGACCAAGACCTGTGAAGCCTCGTGGACGGCGTTCCAAGCAAAGCAGAGCGGTGCAGTCGCTGAACGTGGCGGCACACGAGGGGTCCGCCTTCGCCGCGGCACCGGCGCTTCGAGGAAGAAGGGGATGAGATTGCGGAAGCTAAAGTTTGGGAAGACGATGGAGAGTGAGGAAGAATCGGCTGCGACCATTGGAAACCGGCCGCGGCTACTTTTACTACCATCTGTGTGTGTTGGATTCCGAATTCAATAAAGGTGAAAGTAAAACAGGGGAACTGCAATTATTGCCAAACAGAGACCGATTCAATAAACTGGAATCAGAGTCTCAAAAGCCTTTTTTTTTTTTAATAAAAAGGATGTGATCTGATTTTCTTTCGTTTCCCACAATCGAAAATTTCGCAATATTTTTCTAAAGAAAAAAATCGGATCCGTGAAAAGTCTTCGCCTTTCTTCTTTTCAACTCAACTCCAACCTGAAAAAATAAATAAATAAAACAGAGCAAGTTAGTCAACAACTCAAACAATAGACTGAAAATTCACAAACTCATCCCAAATTCTGAATTTCTTGAAATCTCATACCAATTTAAACCCCCAAAAAAAGAAAGAATTTTTCCGGGTATTTGCAGCTCTAATGCAAAAAGAAAAAAAAAAGCTTATAAAAGAAATTTTCATTAAGCACTGGTTCCTGATTTCTGGGAAAAATGGACGTGCAAAGCCACAGAAAAACCCCCCAGCACGGAAACCGACAAAGGAGATCCCAAAGCAGTGAAAATTTCCCTACGAATTTCGAAATAAGCAGAGGAAGAATGAATAACCAACTTACTTTTGGAATCTGTATGGACTTCGATAATTATTTCCGATTTTGGCGAATAATCTCCGACGAAGCCCTCGAGACAAAGCGAACTACAGCCGTAGCTTCACTTTATCAGGAGGAGAGAACTACATAGAACCCTATATATATCCCAGCGAGCTTTTTTCAATTAAAAACTCAAAAAAATTAGATGAAAAGATCTAAAGGGCACCACTTATTATTATTATTTTTTGCTTGAATAAAAAAAAACAAGTAGATATATATAAAGCAGTCGTACTCATACGACACCGTATAATAATGCGTGGAAACTGGAAGGTCAGGTAACCGGTCACACTACTGTGGCGGTAAGTTAGGCCTGATTCATTTCACATATTAAAATTACGTCTAATTTTTTATTATAATTAAAATCTCTTAAAAAATATCACATTCATATTAAAAAATTTAAATTATAAAATAAATGAGATCATAATAAAATGCAGATTTTATTTTTTTTATTATCGGAAAGTAAATGGGTTTTCGAATGGTTTGAGGTGGGTCCGGGTGGTGGGTGTGGGTCCGGGTCAGCTGCCACGATGTAAGGGGAAGTTTGACTTGCGAGGAACTAGTGGAGAGCTTCCAGTCCAACGCGGCTATATGCGCAGACTGTATGGATCTGATCCGGCTGTTTTCCACGTGCCACGTGTTCAAACCGACTACCACTGCATTAAAAAGGCTCTCTGTCAAACGGTGATTCTCAGTATCTGACCGTCTTTACGTCTTCCTTCGGCAACACGTGTCGGTTTTAAATGACCTTGAGTCTGTGTGTATAGTTGAATAGTCTGTGTGTATAGTTGAATAGTCTTTTGTGTTAGAATACTTTCATTTCCCCAACAATCTATCTAGGAGTACTTTTGCTCTTGCTTTTTGAAAAAAAAAATCACTATAATCTGTTTGTTTTATGAATTTAAATTAATATTTTAATTTAAAATTTAAATTTTATGAGAAAATTTATTAATAAAAACTTTTTTTATTTAAATTTTTATGAGAGAATATAATCAAAATTATAAGTTCAAGTCAACTAATTAAGCGTACATCAAGTTTCAAGTTATAAACAATTTTAAAAAGAGTATTATTAATAAAGTATTTTTTTATACTCTACTGTAATAATAATTTCAAAAACACATAAAAAGGTAATTTTCTAAAAAAAAATGAAAGAAAAATAATTAAAACATTTTGATCAATGCTCATACAGTTGATCAATGCTCATATATGCCTTGTAAGTGAACTCGATTCAAATTGAGATTAAAAGCCTAATTTGAATCAACATCATCAAAGTTTACAAGACTTTTAGTAAATCTTTATTTAAATCTTCTTAAGTTCATGGAAGTAATTTGGGCCCTTTAACTTTACCGGTGCAACAAATATCTTTTAAGAACAATATTTACAGAGAATAAAAATAATAATATAAAAGTTTGAATGGGGAATTTTTAATATATATTTTGCTTTTTTTTTATCGAGGTTGATAACGAGGTCGGCCTAAGGTCAAACTTGGACGTGAACTGGTGCCTAATCCAGAATTGAGAGACAAGTTTGCGATCGTTATTAGGTTTACAACCACGAACGAGATGATGTTCAAATCAAAGCTGCTTGCACCAATAGGTCAAGTTCGAGTCAAAGCTTGAAGGGGTGTTCGCGGCCGATCTACTAACTAAATCAAAAATAATTCTTTTCTTTTAGGCGGTTTGATATTTTTGATAAAACCAAATCACTTATAAGTGATTTGGGTGGTTTGGTTTGAGTTTAAGACTAATATAGTTTTCAATAATTCACAAAAATTATAAAATCATTAATCTATAAAAATAAAAATAAGGTTAAAGTTTACAATATAATTTTAAAAATAATAAATGTCTAAAAATTCACTATTCAAAGTTTTAATACAAACAAATAAAAAATATGGTAGGGTGTGTTGGAAAAACATGGTTAATAAACTATGTTAAGAGGACACTTTGAGGTTAGATTTTGAGTGGGGTCCACTTAGTCTTTGTGGAAGATCAAAGTGAGTTCGAGTTATCCTCTGTGAGATCTTCGAAACAGTATATATATTATATGCTAAAAATGGTGCTTAGGTGAATGAGAAATTGATGTTTAAAGTATACCCAGTGAGTTGGAAAATTTAAAAAAAATAAGGAGAAAAATTATTATCCCACATGATAAAGGAATCAAATCTCCACGGTGCTCATATAGGATTACACATTTGTTGTTGTGCAATCTAGTAAGCAAAAAGGATCTCCCACGTGCATGCAAGGGGATGCAAATCCTATATCGATGACGGAAATCCGAAGGATTCGTTTGCGAGCGCATGTCTTGTGAGTATTAATCCATACTATTTAGTTGGCCCACGCGTGAGGCAGATGATAGAAATGGATGAGAATCGAGCGGAACAAGGTCGGGTATGTTTCCCCCACTCCCGCCCCCCACCTTCACCTTTGCTCCCTATACCCACCCCTATTCCCACGTATTCAAAGTAGGGGAATCTCTATCGGAGAGGATTTTCCTATACCTTATCCATTCACCAATAGGAAAACAAATATTGTGATATTTTTAACAATTAAATAAATTGCATCAAATTAAATAAAAAATTAATTAACATAACATTAATATCTCATGAAAACAAACAAAGATTTCAAAAAAAAAAATCCAAGCTCTAAAAATAACTAATCAAATCTCAAACCATATAAAACAAAATTCTAAATTCAATCCTAGAAATTATTAGGGTTTTTTTAAAATAGTAAAATATCAATTTTTTTAAAACCCACTTTTTTTAAGTACTATTATAATATAATATATATATATATTTGTATTAATTTTTTTTTTAAATATATGTATATGTATATCTGGGCGGGGCCTGCCCCTCTTTTAATTTAGCGGACAATATAAACCCGCATCCATCCCCATTTAATAACCCTCATACCTGCCCTAGTTGGGGTGGGTACCGCGAGTACCCACACCAGCGGGTAAGTAAAATGCTCATCCTTGGCCAGAAATCCTCGAGCACCAATGGTGAGGAGCGAATATGTTTTAGGGACACTGTGTGGTACATGGGCGTCAATTTTAATTATGTTTATCTGTTCTTTATTATTGTGATTTAATATTATTATTGTGATTTGTAATTGTACTTATTCATTGCGATTTAGTATTGTTCTTTTCTATTTATTTTTTTTATTGTCATATTATCTAACATGATGTACTTTATAATTGTAGAACTTTTATTATAATCAATAATTTTTTTAAAAAGAAAAAATATTTTAAAAATAAAAATATGTTCGTTTAAAAATAAAAATATTTTAAATAATATAAAATTTTCTAAAATTAGAATAAAAAAAATTCTATTTTATCTGTTCGTTTCGATTTATTTTTATTATTGTCATATTATCTAACATGATGTACTTTTTAATATTATAATCTTTATTATGATAAAAAAAATTGTTTTAAAAATACAAAATTATGTGTATATTTTTAGATTGACTACCGGGCGGTTTGAGGATTCCAAACTACTAACGAAACCTTCTAAAAAAATTAAATTAAAAATGACCAAACCGCTTAATAATTTAAAAATAATTAACGATTTGATTTGGTTTGAATTAAGTGATTAGGACTGTTTGACGGATTTTTTAAACACCCCTAATAGCTTGCACAAGTCCGAGATCATTGTTAATGTTTCCTGAATTTATTTGTAATTTTATCTATATTTTTGCTTAATTATTCTTTTAATTTAATTTATTAGTTTACGAACATTGATTTATTGACAAAATTTGGCTCTAAAATCGTTAATAAATTGAGAAGTTTTATAGATTAGCGAGTGACCTCATATTAATTACGCCATTTGCCCTTCCAAGTGACATGATTTATAATTTTAATTAAATAAACGCACACATGGGTATCCTTGTCATTTTCTATCATAAAATTGCCATGCGCCACAAATGTTGGAAAGAGCTTGGAAATTGTCTAATTGAATTTCACATTATTAATATTGGTCATGTAAGGCGGTTCCGCGTCCGTCCATTTCCGTATGTTTATAAGGACCGTTTAAAACTGATTCAAGTTTTTAATTTGAGTTAATTTTTAATTTGAATTGAGATATAATTTTATATGAGAATTTTTTATTATATTAAAAAAATTAAATGTGACTGTTTGTAAAAATTTTTTATTATAATAAAATTTAAATTCTAAATTTGAATCGATAAAATGAACGAAACCTAATTTATAATATTTACTAACAAATAATATTTTTAAACTCCTTGAAATGATTTTATTCTTCTTTCTTTTTTTTCTATTTTTTTTTAGTTTAATTTGATTGGCTTTCAAATAAGGACAATTGGCCTGGTTCACTTTGCGGATTCAAGTTGAGATGTGACATTTTTTGAGAGCTTTTTACTGTAACAGAAAAAGTTAGATGTGATATTTTTTAAGAATTTTTTACTGTAAAAGCTTAGAACTAAAAACTCAAATCGGTGAAATGAACGATGTCAAAATAATAAATATCTAGCTGGAGAAGTGCAGAGGGGTGAGGAACCAACGGCTCAAGATGAAAGCTCAGGAGTCAGCTTAAGCCAACTTGCTCAATGTTGCCATCAGGAGAAAAGAGAGCGCAACTAGTGAGAGCGACACCGTATAAGATCAACGGCTGTGATTGTCTTTCCCAGATCTTTTTGACGACTGTGATTAATTAAGATTCTCTTATAACAAGTCCCAAATAACAATCATTTCGGGCTTCCTTAATTTATTATTTCTCCTTAGGTTATTTTCTATGTGCCTAATACTATTTATGACGTGTAATGATTAATAATTAAATTTTTGATTAACTGCAACTTGAGTTGATTATTTGAGAAAAAAGTAAAGTACCACTTGAGTTGTTTATCATTAAACTCTATTGTAATCTTGTGAAAGTGCCAAGATCAACATCCCTATGATGCTGGGTTCAAAAAACTGACCTATGAGATATACGGACGTTACGGTCGTGATTTGCCATAGCATATTATCATGTGTTTTTTCAGTGTGCAAATTCATATCATGTGAAGTCAGCATAGAGACTACTGTTATTAGATAATATATATGGTTTTTATATAAGCGAAAAAGAAAGTGCTGGAAAACAGAAAACGAAGGAAATAATAATTTATATTATTTCTTTGCGCAATTTTGCTTAGTTTTTCTTTCATCG